GGGTCATACCCCCTTTAAAATAAGGAGCAATACATTTCATTTACGAAACATGTTTTGGTGGATAAGATCCCTCTCGATCAATCAGGCAAACAATTTTTTTCAAAATTAAGCTTCCTTGACAGTTTTCGATTCATGGCATCAAGTCTAGATAAATTATCACAAAATTTGAAACCAGAACAATGTCGAGAAGTTAGAAAATATTTTCCCGCGGAAGATGAGTTCCAGATTATTCGAAAGAAGGGTGTTTTCCCGTATTCTTACGTGGACTCATTTTCAAAATTAGATAACACCAAGCTCCCATCCATTGATGGCTTCTATAACGAGCTAAGAAAAGAAGGCATCAAACAAGAGGATTACAAGCGGGCACAGAAAGCATGGAATTTGTTTAAATCTACAACTCAAGGCCAATATTCAGATATTTTTCAAAGTCCGACGTATTAATTCTCGCTTATGTATTTGAAAATGTCAGAGACGCGTGTCAAGCAACTTACGGTCTAGATCCGTGCCAGTACTGTACAGCTTCAGGACTATCTCTTGATGCTGCTCTTGAAACAACCGCTGTGGAGTTAGAACTACTGACGGACATAGACATGATACACCTCCTGAAACGCGGTATTCGCGGAGGGGTCAGTCAGTGTAGTGTACGGAAGGCTGTCGCGAACAATAGATTTATTCCTTTATGGTGCAGCCATGTCTCAATATTTACCAACGGGTAACTTTAAATGGCTTGACGCAAATAATATTCAAAATTTAGATTGTCTTAAATTGAATAATAATTCATACACTCTTTATATTTTTGAAGTTGATTTCGTATACATGGAAAACCTACATTAGAGGCATAAAGAGCTACCCTTTTTTCCAGAGTCTTTTGCTCCAGAAGGTTCTAAAATTAAAAAACTTAATCCAAATTTCAACCGTATTTTAAGATTTTGAAAACTTTACTTAGCAACTTCTTCTGCTCGTAAAACTCTATATATTTTTTCAAGCTAGAGAGATTTTTCAGATAACTTTCGATTCTTTCAGCTACTATCAGCTCATAATCTTAAGAAAGACTGAGCTTATTCAACCAAATGTTCTTTAATTTAAAAAAAAAAAAAACACATTAAGTTGTTTGGTGAAAATTTATTGAGACTTGTGACATAATAAGAGCTGCTTTCTTTTCATGGGCTTGTGCGCCCCAGGGCGCCCTGGATCATGATTTTGGAATGTGAGTAACCGTTCTTTTCAATCGGGGCGTCAAGCCCCGGGGTCGTCTATCCCCACCGCTAGCGCCTCGGCGAGGCGTCAAATCTCCAGTGTCCGAACCGTCACTAGTGTCAGATAATTATATGTCCCTATATTTCTTAGGTATTCACTTACATTATCCATTATGGCAATTAAAGCATTTTCTAAAGCATTTTCTTTCATTTGATTTGAATAATTTTAATTCTACACAAAAAAATTGTGTTTTCTATTTTTAAATTCAAATTAACACCCTCAAACCCTCTGAAATTATTATACCTTTTATTTCAATATTACCTATCTTTTTGTATAATACTTTTTGAATCAATACATTCTGTTTTTATTGCACATAGAGATGCACCCGGGTCTACTAAAAATTTTAGATTTTTATTTCCTACAAAGCAATTTACAAAACTACAACAATTGCTAGAATAAGTGAAAATTTGACTATATTCAATTTTTTTAGAGACGAAAAAACTGGTCTTGAGAATTTCCATTACCATTTCTATTACCTGGTAAATTATTTTGATTTCCTGGCAAATTAACTTGACCTTGGTTGATTACGGCCAAATGCATATTGTGTCTAGTGAAACCGCTTCTAAAGTTTTTGTTATTGTTTCTGCGTGGAACTGAATTGCCTCAGCAGATTATAATATATGACATACATATATACTACTATCAATACAATTATAGAATATTTTTGATATGGATTTGAAATCAATCAACAAGACCTGTCTTTTCATAGCAAAGAATTAAAAAACAATGAAAAAATTACAAGACTTGAAGCCTGTCTGGTAGAAAGTACCCAATATTTCCTGCAAAAAAAACCCAGGGTAAGTTCGGACCGAGCATACTCGTTGAACTTGACGATTCCGCAGTGCTTCTCCCAAGACGCACCACCACCGGCGTATACAAGGGGGGGGGGGGGGTAATGGGGGGTAATTACCCCCCCCCCAAGATCGTTGCGATGGACGAAAAAAATTTGACCTTAAAAATATATCTATGTGTCTAGAATCCCGGTACCGGTAACACATTTTTTACCGGTAGTTTTGATGCCGTCACCCATATGACGCACTAGGTTTTTACCGGGATTTAAGCAAATCCCGGTAAAAAATGTAGTCGTTGGCGGATTCTGTTTTATCAAAGTCCAACTTAACCTAACTTTTTATGTTTTTAACTTGTTTTGTTGATGTGTGAACGTAAAGTGGAGTGTTTTGATGAGTTTATCAACCTGAAATTACTTTTTTCTCCGAATGACAGTAAGAGCGGCCTATAAATGACACTCGACAGGATCAGAAGTTGTATTTTTACTGCCTAGGCAGTAAAAGTGGACTTTTACTGCCTAGGCATTAAAAGTGACAGTGTCACAACGTTCCAGGTAATAATTTCCCTCAATTTGGTATTTGAAATTGATGGTGACAATGACAATTGTCAAAATAATTTAATTATTTGGATAATAATAATTAATTGAATAAATATAAAAAAAATGTCCATGTGTGAATTTGAACATTCGGAGAAAAAATTATATGTTTTACATGGCAGAAAAGCAGATTTAATGCATCGGCTGGTTTCCTAGCCTCGGCTATGAAACACCAGCCGCGGCATTAAATCTTGTACTTTTCTGCCTAGTAAAACAAATAACTATTTAAATGGTTTTTAATGTAGGAGGACAAACATTTAAAATTTATAAAGAAGATGAAAAGACTTTGACATGTGAAATCAGCCAGTTTATGTAAAATCCCCAGATGTGGTATTGTTCTGATTGCAAACTTATAAATAAAAAATGAGAAATATTTATTTTAATCTACATCCTTAACAGTATAGTTACATATATTGGCTTGAAGTAAATTAATAAATATTAAATTCGATTAGGAACTGCTATATAAAGTGTTTCATTTTAAATTTGTTTAAATTCTCAGGGGTTTTCCGAAATACCAACGTTAGTTTACTATCATCTGATTGCAGATTACTTCTAATCTGGGATGAGTTGTTCGACATTTCGAAACGCAAATCATATATAAGGTATTTCGTACCTAACTAACTTTTATGGTTTGAAATGTTTCAAAAAAGTGACGAAAACATTAATAAACTAACTTAAAATACCAATCAGCTGATAAATAACGATAAAAACAAAATCAAAACTCCGGGATTCACTTAAATCCCGGTACAAGTGCGTCATATCGATGACGTCATCAAAACTACCGGTAAAAAATGTGTTATCGGTACCGGGATTCTAGACACAGCGTTTTTTATATTTTTACTTTTCAGCAACTGGCCCTAACTTGTTTTCTAGTTTGCACAGTGTCCGCACTGCCCGCATGCGATTTATAGCGAATTCTATTCAAAGGGTGTGCACACTGAGTGTATTCGTATCTTTCTCTACTAGCTTGCACAAGAAAGAGATAAATACATTTTTTGTATTAATTCTACCAATAGAATTCGCTATAATTAAAATGTTTTAGGCGAATCTCATAGCGAATTCCATTGGTAAAATGTATTTTTATCTCTTTCTTATACAAGCTGGTAGAATAAGATACGAATACACGCAGTACGCACTAACCCTTATTCCAATGGAATTTGCTATTAGAGTTCGGTTTCGTTTTTGTTGGTAGTACAGAATATATTTACCTAACAAGTGCGGAAAATGAATTTTTCCGCACGAGTCTGTCGTTCACCGAAAGACGCGTAGCGGAAAAAAATTCGCCGCACCGTGCGAGAAAATCGATTTTCCGCACTGTTTAATTGTCCTCGCTCTCGTAGAAAACCGCTCAAAGTAAACGTTTTTGGGCGTGGCACCTGGAAAAAAATGGGGTGATTACCCATTACCCCCCCCCCCAGACGCATGGGCTGGATACGCCGGTGCGCACCACCATATCATTAGAAAATCATATTAAGTAGTTCATGGATGGAAAATATTCGATAATATACAGAGGTCAGAAGGATGTAGAACAACCAAACCATATATCGTTTTTTGAAATCGTTGAGTCTTGGAAAAATGTATGTTTTTAATTTTAAAAAAATTGAAAATTATAAATTGCTTTGAGGCTAGGTTACTGCTCGTTTTTTTTTTCGAGTGATTGCAAACATCGCTTCACCGGCTCAAATTGCAACTTTCTCTCGCGTGCGGAATAACCTAGCTACCACACGTTTATAATATAACATTATAAGAACCTAACAAAAATAGTAAATGACCCAAAGTTATAATGTGAGATAAACACAGACTCTTCTAATTTCGAATATTGCTTTTTCTACCAAATGTAACTATGGTGGATATCGAAATCCTATAAAATATTTCAGATGCAAGTCTTTTTTTCGCGTATTTCACCATAGGCCTTCCAAGAAGCGCTTATCCGATCAACCCGATCACAGCTGCTTGTTTTTTATCTTTCTTTGATGAACACAATTGAAAAAAGCCAAAGTACATCAGCTGGTAATCCGGTTAATCGTATTAGCGTTTACGAAAAGGCCTCCCTATAATTCTAGAACGTAGTTATTTTTCCAAATAGATAGCCACAGCTGATTGTTTTTGGGACAAAACCAAAATTTAAACTTCAACAAAAACAAATTCTTTCCTTTCATTCTCAATGCGACCCTGCGCTTGACCTTGTGGATTTGTTTAGACGGCACTTTTATTTAACTTGGTTAGACTATAGTTCCTTTTTCTGTCCGGTAGACCTTTGGAGATAAAAAATTGAGACGTTTGAAACGTAAGCAAGAGAAACTATGTATGACTCATACTCATATTATGCAATTTCAAACTCTATCAGGTCTACCCTTACCTTATTATTATTCACGAACCAAGTGATATTCGCCGCTGGACCACATGGTGAGACAAAACATCCCGCCATGATTTTCTTTCCCATTTCAATTTTTCTCGGTTCAATTTTCAACACAGGTCGTTCACTCGGTGATTCTGGAAAATAAATCGAGGCAAATTAATTTTTTTAATGATGCTTTAAGTTAGAAAATTTGTACCTATTCTTATTTTCAACGTGAACTAAGAATATTTGTTATTTTATTTTTGGGCAAGTTTTTGTACCATGCAACAAAATTCTATTTGAATAAAAATTTATGAAATATTTTCCGATTTTGTATCAACAGGAAATAAATGTATTGCTGTTTTTTTTTTTTAAATATTTTTGTCAAGGGTAATAGTTACTTATCATGCTAAGGTATACGGACATATCGGAGCTGTGCAAGTATGTTGGTTTGGTTTGCATTGTTTTAACATGGGAAAAGAAAATTTCCTGAGTCTTTTTTATTAGAAGAATTATTTCTCCTTCGCCTCGGAAAATCTCTAAGTGTGGAAATGCTATCAACCTATAATTTCCGTTGTATACTCCGTTGTGTACATCCGTTGTGTACATCCGTTGTATATACCTATATATATTTAAACTGCTGTTATTGGTTTCCTTCTCACAGGTGAATCTGTGAGAAGGAAGCCAATAACAGCATCCCATTTCTGGACTCAAAACCTTATAGTATAGAAAACCATATTGCTCCAACAGGTTCATCAGTTATTACTCATACCACCCAATGAAAACCAAGATTAACCTTATTTTGGGCATGAAAGAGAGAGCTACTAAGCTCTCCCATCCTGATTTCAGACAAAGTAACTTAAAAAAACTGAAGGATTTTTTCCTTGACACTTCCTACCCAGTGAGTCTAGTCAATAAGTTCCTTTTCAGCACAATGTACAAAGTCAATGTTGATGAAAGCATCATCGAAAGAAACTCTCAGTTCTTAACCTTCAACACTTTTCTGCTCAATAACCGAAATGATATTTCCGATGGCATAAATGACATCAGCGTCCAGAATACCAGTTTTTTCTCATCGCCCTTCATAGAGGGCCTAACTCATAAACTCAATGATTTTAAAAAATTTGACGTTAAAATAGCAGAATAACAAACTAAGACCGTATCCTTGCTATATACTAAAGCTTAAACACCCCTCAAGCTTCTAGAAAACTAGAATGTAGTTTATGAGATTCCTTGTAGGGACTGTGAGTAGTGATGAGCAAATGCAAGACCAAGACCAAAACCAGGCTAGTCTTGGTCTTGGTTTTGCATATGCAGTCTTGATCTTGATCTTGCAGTCTTATAAGTGGTCATGGTCTTGGTCTTGGTCTTGCGGGGCCAAGTCTTGGTCTTGGTCTTGGTCTTGGTCTTGCAGCAAGACTCTTGCAAGTCTTGCAATTATTTGGTAGATTTTCACTGGAGGGTATTTTTACGAAGAATTTTAAAAAAAAAAACTCGCTTTTCAAGCCACTTGAAGCAAGTGAATGTTTAAAGAAAGGGAGAGTATATGCCAGTATCAAAATTCCAGTTTTTCAATATTGAGTACCTCTACCATAGCAGAAAATTTTAACAAGTGAATCGGGCAATTTTTTCAAGTTAAAACTGCTCGAAAAAACATTGGCAGTTAAGGGATCACTTATTTAAGTTTGTCCCTGTAACATTGGAACATCCTTATTTGTATTTACTAGTAGTGGCGCACCCAGAGGATATGTTTGGGGGGCCCCTACATATAGGTTGTGGATTGTGTCTAAAAATCTAAACAAAAAATTGAGGTGTCAGGGTGCCACGTCCTGATGTTGCCATATTTTATGTTTTGCATCACCCTAAATCTCCGAAAGTATTTTTTTTTATCAGGAAAAATGGATTAGAGACTTATTAATTGATTAGTTTTAATTAAGAAAACGTCTACAATACTTGTACAAAAATTTTATTACACTTAAAAACTTTTTTTTAAACATAGGAGTATTTTCAAATAAAAATCAAAATTTACATTTACATTTAAGTTCGAATCTTCTTGAATTTCCTTCATAAATTGTAACTTTCGTTCATCCGGCATAGGTATATTCTTAATGACAGAATATACTGCAGGCATATATACCAAAAAAAAATGTTCTACAAGGTTATAGTCGAGTGAATTGATTGAAATTTTCGCTTCAAAAATCGATTTACCTCCCACTTTTTTGTCACAAGCTGAAATTTTTAGGGATCAAAGTTCATGATAAGGTAACCCTTATTCCGAAGGTAATACAAAATTAGATTGTGCAAAAGGGCACTAAGTATCATCAAAAATCGAGATATTGAGACCTCCGTATAGAGAAAAAAATACTTTATTATTGGTCCAATGCACAATAAGGTCATTGTAGGGAGTATTTTTTTATAATCATTCAAAAAAAATAATTATCACTGGCCGAAAAAAACTTTAAACGTAAATATCTCGGTTTCAATCGTGTGAAAATTTGGTTAAAAATCATCTTTTTAAATATACCTTCCATTTAACGAATAACGAAGGCTTAAATGAAAAAAAAAAAATTCCTTATAAAAGTTTCGCTTCTGTATTGTCCAGATAACAGTGCAAACTACTTATTTTTTGCTTCTAAATTAACAAAGATATAACAATAAACAACCGCCGAGTCTCTCGACTCGCTATATGTATCTCTCTCAGTGTTGATATGTATAGGATCTCTTTCACTCTGTTACATTATTTTGTATAGGGTTTATCAATTTATCCGCTTGCACTTTTCCAATAATTTCAATTTGTTTTTATTCATCACATCGCCCTTCATGAAGGGTAACGTTCACCCTTTTCACCAAGATAAGGAAGGTAGATCCAGGTCGAATGGTACTTTGTTTTAAAGGTATTTTGATTCTCGTTGAAACTCCGTATGTGATTATTTTTTTTTTGGTGGATTTTCACCCCCATTATTATGATAGAGAGTGTGGGCTGAGTAGCATCTTGTTTTGAAGATCTTTCAAATAGCAGCATTTTCTAAAGGTTCAACATTGAAGGATTAATTTTTTTCTTGATTTTTTGTGTCGATGGGGTTGAAACTGACTCCAAATCTCAGTAGAAATTACTAGAAGAAGTCTTAATTTGAGAATACCAGGGACAGAAAATTGTTTCTTTTTCAGTCCATAGCAACTTTGACAGTGAACATCTCGAGATTTTCAAAAAAAATACGCACTTGTGACGAGAATTAAAATACAATTTTATTACTACTCGAACCATCTTCGGCATGTTCCCTATCTGAAAAGGAAGGGTTAAAGTCACCTCACCCGATAGGGTCGGAAAGTTTTACTCTTTAATCGACCTTAAAATACCCTAAAACGCCTCTGTTTTGATATTCGTGAAACACCCTGTAGGTATATGTGTTTTGATAATATGAATAATTTATCTTTTTATTTTTTATTTTTCTCAAATGCAAATTATAAAGTCATACACCATACACACTATGAAACATTCTTCGCCTTTAATTGGAATAATTAATAATCCCTGTACAAAATGATGTAACACAGTGAAAGAGATCCCATACGCATCAACACTGAGAGAGATGCATCGAGAGTCGAGAGACTCGGCGGTTAGATCTTGGTCTCCTATAAACCCTTGACATCTCTTATTGTTTATTGTTATATCTTTAATTTAGAAGCAAAAAATATGTGGTTTGCACTGTTATCTTGGAAACACGCAAACACCTATCAAGTATTTCAGAAAGGCCATTCCATCATTATCCACTTAGAAACGCGGAGCATGATCTTTACCTGCCAACCCCATCCTCAGAATTAGTTAAGAGCTCTATTCTGTACAACGCAAAAAAAATGCACAACCATCTGCCAATAGAAATCAAGTCCATATCTTCTCTTTCTAAATTCCGCATAGCTCTCAAATCATATTTGTTGGAAAAAGCCTTTTATAAGGTAAATGACTTTTTTGCGAACACATAATTTTGAGCATTCCACACACTGGAGCATTGTTTATAGGTAATTTGTTTTGTTAATAATTTATTAGACTAATTTAGTTTATTTTATACCTCGAACTCGATGTACCTACTTATTGTAAAACTAACCCTTTTGGGCTCTCAATGAGGACTTTTTAGTGGGTTTTCGCAATGCAGATTCATTCCTCAGTCAAGATAATGCCGGAAAATATTGTCAGGAACCATATGAAATAAAATGAAAGAATTACTGATCTGATAATCAATTAATAACAATGCAATTACTCACCGGAGGGTTTTACCGCCCCTTGCCTCTTGGTCATTCTGGCATCCCAATACTAAATATTCCTGGCTAAAAATATAATTAAAATAGCAGGATTAATCTTCACTTGTATCTTCTTTCTTCGACGACTAGCTAGTGCCCCCCTGAAATAAGTCAAGGCTTCCCCGGATACTTAATTGCCGCTAAACAATCAGTATCCAAACAAATTGGGTATTGGGGTGTTGCTCTACATCCCTATACCTATTTGAGTCAATCAAATCGCAAGTAAGGCCCCCAATCTTACAAGACACAACCTGAAGGAATGGCGCCCATACCAGCGTATAGAGGCTTGCTACACCAGCGTGCAATAAATGTACTCATAGTACATTTCCATGAGTTTCTACACCAGCGTGCAATAATATATGATTCATAAATATCAGGTTGTACACAGTATATTAGTATATATCAACAATAATTATTTATATCAGCCAAGGGCTTACCAAAATCCGTGCACACACACAAACAATGAAAACAACCTCTGTCCCTATCTGCTCGACTCCCCGCTCACCACTCATCCCTTTCTTTTTACCCTCTCGACGATTCCTTCTTACTAAGATTCCCCTTCTCAATATTTTACCTGAAATGAAGAGGTTCTGGGCAGCTTGGACTATTTAATTAAGAGGCGACAAATGGTTTTGTTTGATTATTAAATATAATTTATTGTCAGGAATACAATAATTGGAATGTTGATTACATAATTATTTTACATTATGTATTTTGTTTGTTTTGTTTTGACTTTGTATACAGATAGATGTATATTATTTTTAAGGCTTTGTCAACAAATTTTGTTAAATTTTTTT